ATACAAGTAAAAATGCCTTTACCAATCACTTAAATTTGACGTATTTTAAAATTGGTGTAAATTTAGTAAGCTCCATGTCCAAGCAAACACATTCACCTACTTTTTGCCCTACATACTGTGTAATCCTCCTTATGGCCATCCCCAAGGACCCACCTACACTGAACAGATACCATTAGAAAAAAATGAGTTTAAACTAACATAGCTTAGATGATTTTGAATCAAAATGTGACTTATTTTAAAACTGCTGTAAACTTAATAAGCTCTGTTGATCTAGAAATAACAAATACTGGTTTAGTTTACTATTTGGGTAGTCTGAAGAGAAAAGTACCATGGCAATTTCTGATATTTATTTATAAACCAATACTAAATCATCCATGGTATGTTCAACAATCTCTTTTTGATGAAAACAAAATACACTAAATGTTACCCATTTAAATGCTAACTTAGTCAAAATTCTTAGAGTATTTAGGTTAATCAAATATTCCAGGTAACAAAGTTATTACATGTGAGATATCAAGATCACAAATATTTTTGAATGAACACTGTAAGATACACACAAAACTAAAATGCTTCTGAATATGAGGTAATCTTTCCATGATGAATAGGAAAACATTCATGATCTTTTATAATGTTCCATTGTCCACATTATGAAATATTCATTTCAATTAAAAATAACTGAAGTAACTTTATCATGACCCGGATGCTTAGTAAATTTATGCTGATCATACACTTCCCTAAAAGAACGCATCCAGAATGAAAATTAAAATCCAGGAAGAAACTTTCCAAATCCAATTTTAAGTAATTAAAGTAAACCACATCATAGTCAGTTAATTGGAAATTATTTCTTTTACAAACTACCTTATTTATTCTTTAAACATCTGACTTATTAGCAAAACTTTAATTTTAAGATGCAAATTTTGTTATGTCACTCAATAGCAGCAAAACTACCCACACAGTGAATTAAAGTTCGCTAGTTTGAGAAATCTGAATATAAAAATAAAACAAAACAAAACAAAAGTCCACTAGTTTGGGAAATCTGTATATTGAGTAATCAAATTTTGACAGCCACATCACAGACACTCAAATATTTGCTGTATAAACTAGCCATGAATGAACCCTGCTCTAACATTTTTTCTTTAGAACTATTAAATGTAACTGATGGGTTGAAAACATAATCTCTAATTTTTTTTTTTTTTAGGATGAGATAACACATTTCAGAGCACAAGTCTATCCTCTCCTCTTCTAATATCATTACTCTTTGAAATAAACATTTTCCATATATATTGTTGTCCAAACTTTTCTCCCTAACTCTTCCAAAAGAAACAATTAAAAATACATAGATAACTATAATTTTATGGAAAAAGTATACAGAGAAAAACTAGTCATGCTAGGTAAGTCACAAAATAGAGTATCAGCCTAATTAAAGATTTCACTACAAATATTTACTTTTATTATATTTTTATGCAAATAACGCTCATGTTCTTTTGTTCCCAACTGTGCTCTCCCCAAAGTATTTATCATAACCACACTATGCTATTTTTTTCACATGGTGCTGTAAAAAAAAAAAAAAGTTTCACACACCTATTATTTGCATAAAAATATGGTATTTATACCACAAAGGACCAGCCACAAAAAAAAATTATTCATGCTTTAATTTTACAAATGAGTAAGAAAAGCAAACCAGTGTGTCTCTGTCGATCAAAACATGGGGAAAAAATTATTGTTTGCAGAATAGAATAAGTAGGCCAAGTCCAACTTATAGCAGTTCATGGGTTGTCAAAATGGTACAGATACCATCAACTAAATCTATGTTCAGACAGGCATGCCCCCAATACTTTCACTTTGGTTAACCTAATACCTGGAACATAGAAAGAATCACTCTATGTTAAACAGCTGTATTATGCAGTTATGAAATGCTTGCTATATACATATGCCAAAATATGGTCAGCCCAAAAAGTCAGAATGAATTCTAAAAAAAATTCTTTTTTTCTAAAGTGCTTAAGGCAGCTCCTTCATTTCTTTATCCAGTGTATTAAAACTGGTTTGGAATTCAACTGCTAAAAGAAAAATGTAATACTAAAGGCATGTTTTTATCAAACATAATTTTTTACACCTGTCATACATCCTGTACAGTCAAGCTCTCATGCATTTCCTTTACAGAAAGCAATCACGCTTGACCTGCCAAAACAAAGGGCAAATAAACCAATAAAGAATCTTGAAGGGTCCATCAACCTTTTACAATGTATTAAATGCAGCAAAGTGCCCAATACTTTTTAATTTAATTCAAATGTCAATGAGAACGGTACGTATGATGGTCAAGTTAACAGCTACCTAATTGGAGACTACTTAAATAGGCACTACAATTAATTATTTTCAAGTTGAAAAATGAAAGTGGCAAACTTTCTCTAGTTTAACTTAACAACAAATAAAGTAAAAAAACAAACAAAACCCCCCACAAATCTGTTCTTTAGAGACCTTTATGGAGAAGCACAGTAAGAGAAAAGCCTCAGATTCTTATTGTGAAGTAACAATAGTGTAATATCAAGGATCGTATGTGATGAGAACCTGAAATCCAGATTTACTAAATTTGTATTAATTATTACAAAACCTCTGAGAAGGAACATCTCCCCAGTGAGATTAATACATTTCTGAAAGAAGAACAGAAAATCCCCTATGAAGGCTCTCAGCTGATGGCATGAGCAGGGCAAAGACTCATTTGCATCCTCCAGCCTATTCGTATCTCCCCTCCCCTGCGACAAGGGCCCGCGCTTGATGATCACCTGACACTGCAGGGGGCAGGGAGCAACAGCATGCTTAGAGGAAGAAGGCACTGAATTGATCAGAAGACACATTTCTAGTATCTAAGACATAATCGTGAAAACAAAATACAAAATACAAAAGCTTCTGGCTTTTTCTGCGTCGTGTTTGCTAAAACACACTGTGCAGCAAAGCAGCCTGACCACTAAATTACAGTGTCAAGTCTGATTCTATGAAGAGAGATGATAAATTCCTGCTTCTTTAGGCCCTGGAATAATCCCACCATAGGGAACAGGACACATGAAAATTTCTTTCACAATTCTCTGTGAGGAACAAAAAATCAAAATTATATCTGAGAATGAAAAGAATATGTATTGACATATTTTATTCTCTAAACTCCCTTATAGTCTTTAAAGTTACCAATATATCATCAGATAAAAATTTCCCCTAGGAAAATAATAACCCAGTTCAAATGAAATTCCTCACTAAGGTGTTTTACCAACAGAACATAACATCCTACCAACAGGCAGTAAACTTGAAGAGAGAATGAGCTATTACTATTCCACAGCCTTTCTGTAGAAAGCAACTCAAATGTAACCAGAAACGTCACTTCTTGAGAGAAGGTTGACAGAGCCCAAGACATCTGAAATGAGAAACAAAGTCAAGAAAATAAAAGTTTCAAAAATTAAGAAAAATAAAAATTCTTAGAAATGCTCAAGGAAGTCTTAAACACTGTAATGACAACTTTCTGTTTGGCTTAAAGGACATGTGCTACACATTTTCACCCACTTTTTATGAATGGTTATGTTCTGCTCAGTAACCACAGGTTTTACTAATAGTTAACCCACTTTCTCCTAGTTTGGGAAAGACGATTTTGTGTTGACTCCTGGAAGAATCATAGCCCTTTAGAACACAAATGAACATAGCAAAAGAGGTGAGAGAAAAATAACCTCTGAATGGTCATGCCTGAAAAACTCATGGGCCGATTCAGTCAGGGCTGTGCACTTTTTTCAAAACAATTCTTTAAATGATTTCACATCTTAGTCAAAAGCAGATATAAATTATGTCCATAAAGAATACTTTTAAGCACCTCTGTTTATAACCTACCCTTCTTAGATAAAAGGTGAACAGGGTAGGTTGTTCTACCTTCAATATAACTTAGTAAAATTTTACCTTACCAAATTCAAGTGGAAATTTTATCAAGGATAACTATTAAAAGTGGGATTAAACTGACAATGAAGTCAGAAAATATAAGGCTTTCAAAAACCTTACCCATCATCCAAAGTGACTAAATGAAAAGCAGTCTAACTCAGCAGGGTGACACACGACTGTCGCCTTTGCCGCTACATTAGTGCAACAAGTGCAGAACTGAAATTTGGGTGATCCTGGTGGTGCACTGGTTAAGGGCTCAGCTGCTAACCAAAAGGTAGGTGGTTCGAACCCAGCAGCCCCTCCACTGGAAGATGTGGCAGTCTGCTTCCCTAACGATCACAGGCTTGGACACTCCGGCAGGGGAGCTCTCCTCTGTCCTCCAGGGTCACTTTGGGTTGGAGCCAACTCCACAGCAGTGGCTTTAAGCAATCATATCTAGATACTCTCTATCTACTTTCGATTTTGAGTTATAGCCACAAGAAAAATATTACACTATTTTGGAAAAGAAAAAATGAAATACACTGTAGTTAATAAACAAAAGGGATAATTTAGCAAAACTCAACATATTTATACAAGGGGAAAAATAAAAATAGACCATTCTAAGAAAACCTTTCTAGTGTCACCAAACAATGGTGTCAATTTCTGAAAAATCTTAGCAGACAGTATATTTTCAAAGCTTCAGCATTAAGAACTAATGCCAGCTGATTATGAGATTAAAAAAGAAAATGAAGAGGAAAAAAAGGTAAGGTTTAACAGCTTCTTACCCCAGGTCTTACAACTGCCAACTGTAATTAACCACATTGGGGGGGGGATCTAAGAAACAAAAATGCGTTTCAGCGTAAAAATTTAAACACTGCCTTCTGTCTCACTTATTCTTCAAAACGTCAGTCTCTTGCTTGTTATCTGCTTGCTTCTATGAAATTGCACTGTAAGCTTCTGCAAATGCTTTGTATTAGATGCCTAACGCTGACAGATTCCAGGCCACAAAGCAGAAGGGAGCAAACCAGGTTTGCGCCACTCAAAATCTCTGTGATTTGTAATCGCACAGAAGTCTCCCAGTCAAAACGGGGTAAGTGTACTGTGAGTAGGCACTACTGAGGAACGTTGTTCAGGCTGCTAGCTGAGCCAGTCATTCCATTTTCACTTTTCTGAAGTGTTCTCACAGCACTTGGAACCTGCATCCCAGTGTTCAAAGAAAGTCCACCACACCAAACCTAAGAAAAGACAAAACAAAGCTTCAGTCAGATTCCAACTTCAAGCAGAACTTCAAGGATCCTTTAAATTTCCATTTTAAAGGCACAATGTCGCATATATGAACATCAGTAAGTTTCAAAGTGATACCCTTCGTACTTGAGCAGAGGGGAAGTGGAAAGGCTACCTCAGATGCTTGGAAGACCCCAGAGGCCAGAGCAAGGCTCTGTGAGAGCAGAACTCACTGGAAACTCAAAGCTGCAGGAATGCAGAGTCGTCCAGGATAGGCAAAAGACTGGCTACTACTGGCTAGTCACAACCAAGAGAAGAACCAAGGACCAACTTCCCTATCCCAATTACTGCTTCAAGTTTTGATAATGAGGTGTCACCTGTGACTGTGGAAATCAAAGACCCCTCTGTAAACACAGCAAAATCCATTACAACTGTTGTTTTTCCCTTGTTATTAATAAAAACTCCTCCATAATTCTTTTAGAAAGACTCTCTGAGAAAAAGGCAAATGGAAATATACTGGTGAAATTGCCATATTCTTTAATTATTATAAATGTAGATAAATTTATAAAAGATAAAATTGCTTTGTTTGTGAATCTGGAACAAAGTCAAGGGAATTAAAATACGAAAAGACACATCAACTGCCATCTAAGTAGCAGATACCATTTAAAGCCACAGAGAGTCTACAAATGGTTTACTATTCCCACCTTCATTTATATCTTTAAGTGTTCAATATTTACTAAATAAGTAGAGTATTGTAACAAAGAATCTACCGACCTGTGAAATTTATAACTATATAATTAACATTCTAAATTTAAAACCGAACAGGTTAAGTAATAACTCATGATGTATATAAGCAACGTTCTGATTTTAAAAGTGCATTACTTCTTCTGGAAATTAAATGATTCAGGAAAAAATTTTTCTCAAAATATCTAGCACCAGGCAAACCCATAGAGAAAGGACAGTTTTTTCAATAAATAGTACTGGAGCAAAGGACATCCAAAAGCAAGAAAAATAAAGCTCAAACCATACCTCATAGGATATATATACATATAAAAAAATCTCAAAATAAATCACAGACCTAAGCTGAAAAACTTCTGGACAAAAACCTATCTGTGCTCTCAAATTAGGTAAAGTATGATTGATGGAAGAAAAAAACCTGATAAACTGGACTTCATCCAAATGAAAAATTTTATCTCTTCAAAAGACTGTTCAGAAAAATGAAAAAGCCAGCCACAGACAGGGAGAAAATATGTGCAAAACAAACATCTGATACAGGACTCAGACCCAGAATACACAAAACCAAAAATCCACCGCCCCAAAGTCAGTTCCGATTCAGCAACGCCCACTGGGTTTCCAGGCGGTGTATCTTTATAGAAGGAGATTGCCCTGTTTTCCTTCCACAGAGTACTGGTGGGTTTGAATGGCCAACCTTCTGGTTAGCAGTCAAATGCCTCAGGCACTACACCACCAGAGCTCCTTAGAATATATAACTAACTAACTCACTGCCGTCGAGTCAAATCTGACTCACAGCAACCCCTCGTTGGATTTCCGAGGCAGTCTCACTACGGAAGTAGATTGCCCAACCTTCCTTCCGAGGAGTGGCTGGTGGGTTTGGACCCCCAGCCTTCTGGTTAGCAGTCAAATGCCTTAGACACTATGCTACCAGAGCTCCCTCAGAATATATAAAGAACTCTTAAAATTCAGTAAGAAAATAATCCAGTAAAAAAGATTTTAACAGATATTTTACCAAAGAAATTATACAAATGGCAATAATCTCACAAAAAGATGTTCAACATCATTATTCATTAGAAAAGTAATAATGAAAAGCACAATGAAATACCACTACAAATGAATTAAAATGGCTTTACAACAACAAAATATGGTAATGCCAAGTAGGCAAGTATGTGGTGAATTCTCATACACTGCTGATAGATGTGCAATCTCATACAGCCACTTTGGAAAACATCTGGGCAGTTTCTTATAAACACTCACTTAACTCATGATCCTGCAATCCCACTCCGAGGTAGTTACCCAAGAGAAACAAAAACTCAAGAGCAAACAAAAACCCGCACGTGAATGTTTACAGCAGCTCTATTCATAATCACCTGGAAGTGGAAACAACCCAAATGTCCTTCAGTTGGTGAATGGGTGAATAACCTGTGGTACATCCATATATGGACACTGCTGGGGGTGCTGTGTGCCCTCAAGTCGACTCCGACTCGCGGTGAAGAAATGCAGAGTATGACTGCCCCATCGCTTATTTTAGGCTGTAATCTTTACAGAAGCACATTTGCTCTCACAGAGCAGCTGGTGGGTTTGAACCACTGACCTTTTGGTTAGCAGCTAACTAAAGAACACTACTCAGGAATAAAAATGAAGAGACTACTGATACATACAACAACATGGATGAATTTCCATGCATTATACTACAGAATATTTTTATATATTAACACGTACTTTAATAAAATGTATCTAAAATACACAGTCTCACAGATTTGGGTTAAGATGGGTTAGAGAGAGAGAGAGGAACATACAGAAGGAATAAGATCCTTTACTTCCTAAAATCTAAGCACAGATTATTCTTATTAAAGTTGTCAAACCAAATTAAAGTAGGTACTAACCATGAAACCAGGAAGCACTGGCTGAGTAAATTTTGTCTTAAAGGAATACAACAATTGTTTTGAGTTTGCATCATAGAAAGAAAGCTGACCTAAAAAGAAGAAAAAGGTTTAATTTATTATACAAAATAATAATGACATTTAATGAGCACTAGGATATAATCATATATAAAAGTTACAACTAAATGCATATTTTTGTCATTAATTTTTTTTTGTTATAAATTATAAGGACTAAGCTTACTAATTCTCACTTGAAAACCAGGAACATGCGTACTTTACAAAAAGAAGCCCAAATTCAGGACACGAACAGATACATGCAGTCATGTTCATCGCAGCACTATTCACAATAGCAAACACATGGAAACAACCTAAGTGCAAAGTACAAACTGTAGTATATACACAATGGAATACTATGCAATCCTGAAGAATAATGTAGAATCTTCAAAACACTGCATAACACAGATGAACTCGGAGGACATTACGCTCAGTGAAGTAAGTCAATCGCAGAAGGGAAAATATTGTGTTAGTCTGCTATTGTAAAAAGTCAAGGAAAAGTTTATACATGGAAGGAAACTTTGTTGGTTACCAGGGATGGGAGGGGAGGGAAGGGAAAATTCCTGGATAGGTTAAAAATACACATATATATAAACGGAGAATCAAAGATCATTTGTGGTTACCAGGGGTAGGAGGGAAGGGGAAAGGGAAAACTTTTGTTTACAGGGCACTGAGAAAAAGGCGTGGTGGTGGAATATTTTGGAAAACGATAGCAACCATGGTGGCACAACATGAAAAATGTCATCAATGTCCCCGAGCTATAAATGGGGAAGTTGTTATGCTGGCGAATGTCTTCTTGTATATGTTTTCAACACAATAAAAATTAAAAAAAAAAAAAATCTAGTTTTATCTACCTAGTTTTAAGCCCCTCCATAATCTGGCATTATTCTCAACTATAAACTTTATTATTTACCAAATGATTTCATTAGCCCAGTTAAAACCAAGACTATTTCTTTCGCCTTATTTTTACTATAATCGGCCTCTTTATCCAAATCCTACCACCATTTAAGGTTAACTCTTAAACCTTGTCTTCTAACTACTTGAAGTATTCATTATTTCAGCCTTCTAAATCATACTACAGTCAACAAACACTGCTTAAGCTTTGTTAGTTTTTTAAGATCCTTTGACGTCCATCTTTGGAAAGGATGAGGCCACTAAAATAAGTTTCTCTGATCTTCTAATTGTCCAACCTAATAGCTTCCCCTGAATTCAAAGCTGGATTCAGAAGATAATTCAGAAGAGGAGTGGAATGAAGGCTATTACTGCTGATGTCAGATGGATTTTGGCTGAAAGCAAAGAATACCAGAAAGATGTTTACCTGTGTTTTATTGACTATACAAATGCATTTGACTGTGTGGATTGTAACAAATGATGGATAATATTGTAAAGAATGGGAATTCCAGAATTTCACTGTACTCATGAGGAACCTGTACACAGACCAAGAGGCTGTCGTTCAAACAATAAAGGGGATACTGCGTGGCTTAAAATCAAGAACCGTGTGCATCAGGGTTGTATCCTCTCATTGTACTTACTCAATCTGTATGCTGAACAAAGAATCCGAGAAGCTGGACTACATGAAGAAGAACACAGCATCAGGATTGGAGGAAGATTCATTAACAACCAGCGATATGAAGATGACACTACCTTGCTTGCTGAAAGTGAAGATGACTTGAAGCGCTTACTCATGAAGATCTTCAGTATGTACTACACCTCAACATAAAGAAAATGAAAATCTTCACAACAGGGCCAGTAAGCCACAGCACGATAAATGGAGAAGGGACTGAACTTGTCAGGGATTTCATTTCATTTGGATCTACAATCCACATCCATGGAAGCAGTAGTCAAGAAATCAGATGTTATACTGCACTGGGCAAGTCTGCTGCAAAAGACCTCTTTAAAGTGTTAAGAAGCAAAGATGTTACTTTGAAGACTAAGGTGAGCCTAACTCAAGCCATGGTATTTTCAATTGCCTTATACACATGTGAAAGCTGGACAATGAATTAGGAAGACCAAAGAAGAGTTGATGCCTTTGAATTGTGGTGTTCTGAAGAATACTGAAAATACTGCCAGAAGAATGGACAAATCTTTCCTGGAAAAAGTGCAGCAGGAATGCTCCTTGAAAGCAAGAATGGCCTTTGTCTCATCTACTTTGGTCATGTTGTCAGAAGGGCCCATGTCCTGGAAAAGGGTATCATGCTTGATAAAGTGGAGGGTCAGCATAAGAGAGGAAGACCCTCAGCGAGATGGACTGACACAGTAGCTGTGACAATGGGCCCCAGTACAGCAAGGATTATGAGGATGGTGCAAGACAGGGCAGTGTTCTGTTTTGCTGTCCACAGGGTTGCTATGAGTCGGAGCTGAGTCGACGGCAAATAACAACAATAACCTCCTTACGACTATTCTCCCTACTCGAAAGTCTTCAACCATGGCTGTCTTCTTGGTTTGTACCTAACTCTGAGGCTATCTTCTGCCTGTTGTTTTTCTCCTATGCAAAATGCAGACGCTTTGTCCAGACATTCTTCCTTTAATAAATCAACTGCCACCAAAGAGGGAGGAGGAGAAAAACTAACATTTATTCATTCTTACCAGCACTGGGTGTTTCATGTACCTTACCTCAAATAACAAGTGACTTACATGTGGTCAACAACAGCAGGTAGGAAATGCTTAATTGCATGATTCTGTGCAATCTCCAGGAGCCATTCTGTGAGACTGTCTCAAATATTTCACTCAGCTCTATAGCTGAGTCCTAGACCTGAATTTCCAAATGCCTGGCAGATATACTACATGGCTGCCAGGTTGGCACCTCATTTCTCCCCAGGATTCTATGTTCCCTATCCTACTGATGACACCAGCACCCTCTTGCTCACACTGGTTGGTACCTTAGTTGTCCTGAGTTCTTCTTTGTCTCTTCTCCCAATCCAGTTTAGTTATACACAGCCCTATGAATTCTATTTTTATAGCGTCAAATCCATTCTTCCTCTTGACTCCCTATTGCTCAGGAGCTCTTACCAATCACTCAACAAACACTAGACGCTTATTAAGGGCTTACTTGACATGAAGTGAGAATGTAATAGTTAACAAAACAGAGACGGTTCTACCCTACATTGCTTAAAGACTCACCTACTGGAAAGTCTTATTCTATCTACACCTCCAATCTCATCCACATTTAATCATTTTCCTAGAGTCTTCCTTCTGAGTACTCGTAGCTGGTGGGTTTGAACCACCAGTCTTCTGGTTTGCAGTCAAATGCCTTAGGCACTACACCACTGGAGCTCCCACTCTCTGATGTCTATAAAATTAGATTCTCATCCTGTGTATAGTTTTCTATAATCTGCAGAAGCCCACCTCCCTGACTAATGGATAAAGACTAGCCTATTATATTTATTCAAGGCCCTGAGAAGCTTTTCTTTTTCCTTTAATTTTGAAATGTTCAGTGGCTAAGAATATCTTCAGCCATATCTATCCCTGGTCTACGGTTTATTCCTGCTAAGGCCCTCAGAACCTGATGCCAGATCCTTTTTATGAAACTTCCCCCTCTTGTAACCTGTACTCTAGGTTAACTTCTCATGAATCTCTGAGGAATCAGAGTATGTACAGGAAGGGAGACAGGGGAAAGAAGGTAAACAAACAGTATCTTGATAACAGAAAAATAAAATACTAAACATTTGCCATCTATCCTGAAGAAAACTGTTTTTAACTAATACAAGGCAAACAGGTAAATAATAATAATAATGCTGCAAAACTGACATGTCATCACTAAAAATAAATCAAGCCAAAATTAAGTTTTCTTTTTTTGTCTGAGTAGGCAGGTTGCTAGCTCATGGGTACCTGGCCATGTTACTTAAAATGGTAAATTCTGGTTCAGAAGACCAATGGATTTGGGAATGGTTACACAATAGTACCCTTGGTCACTGTTACAATTAGTCTCAGGAGTCAACCTGGAGAGAAGCCATCTAGGGAATTACTTTTGTTCTTGTGTTCAATATGATGCCATCCTCAAACACTGATGCATTAGTTAGATGACAGTAGAGAAGATATTTATCAAGTAAGAGTCAAAGAGCACAGGGTCAGAAAAGATTTGCAAAAGATAAATATCAAGTTAATTTTTATGTAATTTTAAAAGGAGGCGAAGCATGGCCCAATTCATTAAGATGAGACTTAAGAAAGATAAATGTAATATTCTTGAGTTTAAAAGCAACAAAAACAACCCTACAGACAAAAATACTAAACTCGCTAAGACAAGAGAAAAAAGAATTGGACAGACATCCACAAGAAAAAGAGCTAGCAGTCAGAGGCTAACGACTGCTGCCAAGTCACGTCTCTAAAAACAGCCAGGCCACCGCCTTCCTTGCTGTTCTGAGGCAATATGCTCTACTCTAAAAGCCAGTCTTTAAAAGCACACTGACAAAATACTATACAACATAAGAGACCAGGAGGGTTTGGGAAAATCAAAGTGGAAGAAGAACTAATGGAACAGAAAGTAATGTTAATAGTTTTCTTAAAAAAAAAAATAAAGTAAGGATATCCATGTGAATGTGGATTAGGGAGTATAATCCTCCATTTCCTCAAGTGGCACAAAGTAAGAGAAACAGAACCAGAAGTTACAGGGAGACAAACTGAGTCAACTTAAGAAAAATCTAACCAAAATCTGTCTAACAATGAAACAAGCTTTCTTCTAAGACAAGCTTCACATATGTGGGAAAAAATCTTCAAGCACAGGAGTGGTGGTCACCTGCAGAGACGGGAACTAAGGAGTATACAATGAGTGGCAGATGGACTAGGTAATTTCTAAGATCTCTAACTCAAAAAATCTGATTTCACTACTCTTTACAGATGGTAAAGTAAGGGATTTAATGGACAACAGAAAACAATGCTGAAGACTATAATAAGCCTCTCCAATTCCCTTACTTCCTTTTGGATGTACTCGGTCTACCACAGCTAAGGGCTCTATGTTCTTACTTCCTTTCTGACGGATGGCGTACTACAGCTGAGCTCTGTCGGGCTCTAAGCAGCCCTCTCACACTCTTCCCGTTGATTCTATGGCTGAAATCTTGGGATCTTATCTTAGACGGTCAAAATGCTCTTCCCACAGTACAAACAGAATCTCTGCATAGATGATTACCATGGAAAATGCTGAAACACAAGCAACAATGATGAAGTATTTGTCTTAAGAGAAAACAAGTACTCTTACCTCCATCAAAATCACAAAATACACCTATTTTCTCAGGAACAGTGACATCCAAGGCTTTGACTTTATTATTATGTTTTGCTGCAAATGTGTTTTGTAGCCAGTTGTTAACATGGATACACCAACTAGTGTTTGTCTTTCCCAACTGGTCAAATTTACCCAAAGTTTTATACGCTACTCCCACACTGTACGATTTACAGTCCTTCTGGGCCTTGACCTCCCAGTAATGTTGTCCATTTTCAATAGCAGTATCTCCTACAAAAGACCAGAAAAGTAAGTTAGACTCTATCTCTTCCAAATAAAACTTACTCCAAAATACCAAATCCATGGCATCAAGTCAATTCCAACTGACAGAGAACCTATGGGACAGAGTAGAACTGCCCTAGAGGGTTTCCAAGGCTCTATTCATTACAGAAGGAGACTTTCATATCTTTCCCCCACGGAGTGGCTGGTGGGTTTGAACCACTGATCTTTTGATAAGCAACCAAGCACTTAACCATGGCACCTCCAGGGCTCCTTAAAGCTCCTCTCCAGTCATACAGACTTTGACCTATCACTTGTGCCATAAAACAGGATAAAAAGCTGATTCAAGTACTCTTTCTGTAAGAATAAGCATATTGTGTTGTTGTTATGTGTCGTGGAGTCGGGTTCGACTCATAGTGACCCCTCCTTGGGTTTCCGAGGCGGTATCAGTACAGAAGTAGATTGGCCAAGCTTCCATCTGGTCTTCTGGTTAGCAGTCAGGTGTATTAACACAGAGAAACTAAATGGAGAGCACCTATTAATACTTTACTTTTCTGTTTATTACTATTTTTTCTGAATATAAAATGCTTCTGATCTTTTCTTCCGTAGTATCCTCTCAAGGCTTATAGACATATATAGAGAGAGCACTGTGTAAAGCTGGAAGGTTTTTAAAAGTTGTAATAATAAGACAATTTAAAACTCCCCAAAGTAATTAGACTTCAACAGGGAGAAACCTCTGCAAAGCTTTCTCAATACACAGGAAGCCAGTCCAGCTCCAAGTCACAGAAAGCCCAGCAGGGTGAGTGTGAAGCCTTTATCTGCGACAATGAAGCACTCTCATGATGTATGAGCCTACCCAGCACTGTGTATGATTCTCCAGTGAAACGGTCTCTGCTGCCTCTCACTGCTGGTGGTCTGGAGCCTACCGATGTCCGTTTAGGGGACGGCGTACCACTTCTACATAAACAGGAACAAAAAGAAAAACAAACAATCTATGCCGTGTTTCATTCACTAAAATTACAAATCATGGAAGGAACCTTTAAAAAGACTTCTAATTATATTTCTGAAAAAGCACTATTTTATTTGGTCTATATTATTAAAGAGAGTGGTTAATTACAGACATTCAGTATACGAAACCATGAACACAAAGCAGGCAGAAAGCACTAATGTCATGCAGATCAAGCAAGGCTTATAGAGAGAAGACAGAGTGGAAATGAAAAACAGGCCAAAATGAGACAAGACATGACTGGGGGGGGGGTGATACCCTCAGAAAAGACCATTTAAAATAAGGCTCCTTCTTATTACAATCACAGCTGAAAATCTGTTTCCAGAGCAGTAGGTACTCTGTTGTGGATCTTTTCTTCTTGAAAAGAGAAACAGTAATAGTACAAATCCATGCACGGGATAATGTCACGTATTCTAAAGCATTTCTCCTACTATAATGGACACCATCCAAGCTAACTGCCCTTTTATCACATTACATGACCTGATAAACTGAAGCTTTTACTATCTCTCAAAAACTTAAAAATAGAGCAGATTCCAAAAGATGGTCATAAAATAACACTTTGTACACTGAATCACTGTATTTAAAAAATTGGAAAACATTATTGTCAAGATTTTCCTAAAATTATTACTTAAAAGGAAATGGAATAACTTCTATCTATATTCTCAGCACGAATTAGCAATAAAAACACTCCTGCAATATAGCTGCACTAGAATTGTTTTCTTTAGAAAAGGTCAATTTAGTAGATTTTAAGTTATCTGATACTGGAGAAGAAATCTCTGAGAAGGACAAGGCAAATAAAAAACTATCATTTTAAAGGCATTTCCCAGGACTCAGTGTGCTGCATTCTGCATTAGTTCAGTGCTGTTTTCCTGACAAAAAGCAGATTCACTGGACAGTTTCAAAGAATTAAACCGTGAACTCAGAACCTCAACTTTCTATTGAAGTAGCATGACACTGAACATACTAACAATGGTAACTATTAAGCTCAATTCTGAGTCTACAACTATAGCACTCCTACAATTTAGTTTCTCCCAAAATTTCCCCCAAGTTAAGAGTAGTAAATGTAGCTCTCTTTTCATGCTCCTGTGGGGGGCAAACCAGTGATTTTCAAACCATGTTCCTGAACCCAGGAATCCCCAAATGCCACAAAGGCTGCAGGGCTCTGTGAGGAAGCGCCACTTCAGGCAGGTTGACTTCGTTCTTTTTAGATTAGGCTTCAGGAAACATTTCATTTGAAGGAACCATTCTGTTGCTTTAAAAAAAGGAAGTGTGAACACTCTTCTACATGCAACATTAGAAAGACATGCAAAGCAAAGGAGTTAAAAGAAAAGCTATGCTAACATGCTTTATAAATTATGACAAAAAAGTCTCTAGGTCTCTAGACCCCTATGGAATATAGGATCTTAGTGTTGTTGTTGTTGTTGTTGTTGTTATAGGCCGTCGAGTAGGATCTTAGTAGGATTTACAAAGAGATTCTCCAAAAGGTCACATAAAACTGACCATCTGAGATGTAAATACACTCGGCCCTAGAAACTGTGGGTGGGCATCAGGACAGAGCACAGAAGACCACCAAGCTGAAAAAAAATCACTTAAGTATTATTGTACACTCATCTTCCTCCTTCCAAGTTAATTCAACTGCAACACTGACAATCAATATGAAAATAAGCAACGTTTTAACTAATCTTGAATGTCAGTGTGGAAAACCAGTTTGTACTAGAGAAGGAGGGCAGACAGACACTAGCCCTTCATTCTATTTAATTTCACTTCACACCCCAAAGCTTTTTAGTATTGCTGGTCCTGTCCTGACATGAACAGTCGTAACTACAATTGCTTGTTAGCTGGCAGATGGTGCAAAGAAAAAGATTTTGTTCTAAGCAGAATCAGAAGAAAGGAGACCAGGGTAGCGGGGGAGGAAGAGGGGGAAGGTAGTGGTGGGGAAGGAGTCACTGCTGTCAAGTCCGGGCTGACTCAAAGCAAACCCTCCTTGGATTCCCGAGGCCGAGGCCGTATCACTACAGAAGTAGACTGCTCAACCCTCCTCCCGAGGAGTAGCTGGTGGGTTTGAACCGCCAGCCTTCTGGTTAGTAGTCAAGCGCCTTAGGCACTAGATGTGTGATTATGGGTGATTACGGATGAGGGAGTCACCAAAGAGGAAGCCCAGCAGGTAAAGCAGAGGTTCTCAGACCTGGCTGGACTCGGAACACCTGGGAACCAGCCCTTCCCACGCTACTGAATTACGGACTCAGAGCACCAGAGGTGGGGTTCAAAATACTTGTTTACTAAGAACCACAAGATTCTATATTCAGCTGCCTGGGGACCCACTAAGGTTTTTGTTTGTTTGAAAACAAAAAAAATAACACCTCCCCTAACAAGGGTCAGGTTGAAAAGGTGAGGGAAAAGGCAGTTCTCACATAATCTACTCCATGGCACCAGAGGAACTTGGCTGTGGGGCAGCGGAGGGAAGGGGAGTAACTGCTGGTAGGAAGCACCTCTCTCATCTCTGAATCCTCAGTACAGGGCAGGTGTGCAGCGCTGAATTAAAGGAATGAGCCCAGGTAACGAGCATCTAGAGTAGGTGATGTTATTACCAAGGCCCTCCGATGCCTTCCTGAATCACACTGCTACACTAGAGCGCACAAACATTGGGGATTTTGTGAGAATTGTTGTTGTTTGCCGTCGAGTCGGCCCCAACTCATAGCGACCCCTCCTTGGGTTTCCGAGGCAGTATCACTACGGAAGTAGGATTGCCCAACCTTCCTTCTGAGGAGTGGCTGGTGGGTTTGAACCACCAGCCTTCTGGTGAGCAGTCAAGTGCCTTAGCCACTATGCTACCAGAGCTCCCATTGAAAATTAGGGGTTGTCAATTGAGAAAGTTCAACAGTATCAGAGTCAATCAGGACATTTTCACACCACCCTGAGATTTCAGCCCTCAGCCCACAGGCCAGAAGGGCCGCTGGGGTGGGACATGCATCTGCAAAACATTCCGTGGGGAACGCAGGACAAACCGGAGTAAGAGAAAGGAGCAAGGAGGAGAAAACCCTTAGAACAAGCAGAGATTTTTCACTTAGCATTGCCTCAAAATATGCTGCCAGTTCTTTTGAGAACTAAAAAAAGAATTTTTTTAAGGAAAAAATTGGTAACTTACCAGTAGTAAAGAAACAAAGGAAAGCATGGGAAGAGAAAAACAGACATAACAAATTGAGAACGACATTTAGTTCCAGGAAAAAGGTAACCCGAGAACTCTGGCACTGCAGGACCCCAGCCTCCAGGCCAAGGGCGCTGATGCTGAGTGAGCCGTGCGTGGCCACAGCTTCGACTGTCTCTGTCCCATCCGCTCCCCTGCCCTCCCGCTTGCTTTCCGGACACTCTGGTAGCTTAACTGCCTGAATAGAGGCTTTTTTGCGACCTCTAGTTTGCACCGTTTCCCCTTCCCCGCCTGCTGGAATGATCTTTGCCACCCAATTCACCTTGTTTACTGTTAGCAGATCAATCTCTGACCCCCTACTTCTGAACTACCTCATCGGGCATTTCTGAGCACTCCGCCCTAAATGCCCCAGTCAGCGTTCCTTAAAGTCACTCATCTGCCTGGGGCCTTTCCTCTGGTTGCCCCTTCCCACCCCTCCCACTGCAAGTCCAAATGTCACATATCCTCCCACTTCCCGGAGAAGGAATTCCAAAGCCACTCCCTAAAGGAAGGTCTTCCAGGTGCTCCCAGGCTGAACAACTCTTCCAGGAAGTCCAACTCCAGGCAAATCCTGCCTGTGGCCTCTCAGCCCCGACCACAGGCAGCTGCAGGGCTTCGGCTGCCCCCCCCCCCCCCCCCCGCATGGGCCCAGCAGGCTCTGCAGAGTTGCAGTTGGGACTCAGTCCCCCTGACGCCCCACCTCCCCCTCCAGGCTGGTCCCGCTCACGGGCCATCCCGCCAAGGCACCTCTGCTCACAGGTCTTCTGTGCCTGTGATTTTGGGGGTGGGTGGGTCCTGAAGACACTTTTCTCCATGTGACTCAGTGCTTTTCCACTCCTGGCCTTCCCCTCCCCCAGCCCTTGGGCCTGTGAAATGGCAGGGCCTTTGTTTAGGGCTTGCTCAGCAGTAAAATAATCCCCATCTGTGCTCTCCACCTGATCCTCAGTGCCATTCCGTGGTGCATTCTCTGAGGAAAAACGGGACAATGGAAGAGCCAGCATCCTTTCCTTTGCAGTCTCTTGTATAAGTTCACAGTAGGTGATTAAAGGCTGGGCCGCTACATTCAGTTTGGTTTGTTGTCCTAACTGACCACCTGACACCTGGCAGCTCGCTCTTCCTACCTCTGAACTCCTGTGCTCACATTTACCTTAGATGTACCCTACACCCTGCATAATTGCCACTTGTATGTATGTATCACCTCCATACACTAGAGTGAATTTTCCCTATAAACCCCACAGCAGCTAGCATGACATCCCGCACTCAACAAATACTTATAGAAAGAAGAGGTAAGTGCAGATACCATTGTGGAAATGGCCTACATAGGAAACATCCTCAAAGGGAAAGAAGGGAGAACGAAATAACCCAAATGCTAAATGCAAACCGTCTAAAAAGCCCCAAGTGACCAAATCAAATTACGAAGGCTCTAGAATCTTGCACCATTTGACAGTTTATAGTACACTGACTAAACGATCATTTTCACCAATATGGAGCAAATAAAAAACGAAGAAAAAGGATTTTGAAGAAAACCCATGTGGTTTCTGGTAGAGATGTGTGGTAGCTTCAAATTAGCAAATTCGGACCTGTGCAATTTGAAATGATCCATCCTTCTGGCACTGTCCTAGTAACAGAAGCACTGGTCTTTATTTTCTAGATGCTTCTCAAACTGTAGGACTGTTACAAAATACAGAGTCCTTCACATCTGCCTAGCATCAAACACAAATCAAAGCAAGGCTACCATGTTAGCTCGACTGAGTTCAGCACAAGAAAGATGCCAGTTCTGAGTAAATGCAGAGAAAGTCAGGGGTGGGAAAAATCATCCAAGAAAGACTTTAAAGCAGAGCTGGCTGTTTTGTTATCGTATGCGATAAAATCTAAATAATACGCAGCACATGACAATGCTGTGAACTTAAAGCAGAGCTACCCAGACAGACAGTCTACACAGAGCAGTAGTTTAGCTTATCAAGGCTGCTGCAACGGCTTCTGCTTACTGGTTTTAAAGAATTAAAGTTATTCAGCCAAGCTAGATACACTAAGTCCTAGAGCAAGACAGACACAGATCATCACCTTGTGTGTCTCTTCAGTGAAGTAACATGGACACTGTCAGATAAAAATAGGCAACTGTTAAAAGACTGTTTTATAACGGAAATTTAAGAGCTTGTATTAAAATTAGGCCATAAGCCTGCTGGGGAAACTATTTTGATTCAGTTGTAACTCACAGTGACATTTACCTTGACTATTTCAGTGTGAGCAAAAATTTCCTGTTAATAAGAAAGAGGCTCTGATACTGTGGTACTACTAGCCACATGATCTTGGACAGTAACAAAAGGCCTCAGGCCTGCCAGGCTGCAGACCAGGGGCAACCTCTAGGCTGGACCTGTTAAAGTGGTCATTCAGTGAAAACCTTCTGGTTAGACAGGCCACTTCACAGTCTAAACTTCTGTAATTATACTACAAACTTCAGGCAGATGAAGTTGCTGTAGACGTAACATTAAAGAAATGGGATAATGCAAAAGAAAAAGGAGGATTAGGAAAGAAACTAAGAATAAAGCAACAAAAATGTTAATGATAATTTCAACTACACAGAGTAAGAATTTCATTGTTACTGTCAAAAAAGCTGTGGTGTCCCTGGAAGGCAGGGAGTACGGACCACACTGGGTGACCCCGGCAGAAAATGTGACACCAAAATGACTGTCTGTAAAATATGTGTGCAGGGTTTCAGCAGAAATTCATTGTTTTTTGTCAAAATATCCCTGTAGTTAGTTATAACAACAAAAACATTTTTCGTAAGCCCAGCTCATATGTATCAATATACCCACAAGGCTAAAACTCTCCGCTAACGTGCTTTTGAACCTTCTACACACTCCGGCCAGAGCTGTCACCATCCCTCAATTACAAGGGCACTTGGAATCACGTGGTTTCCTCTGCACGTGCTACAAGCATAAACTGTTGTTTTCACTGCTGCTGGGATTTTTACTGCCACTGATTTTGTCAAATCTTCTAGTGTTTTAGCCACAATATAGTAGAAATTAGTATTTGTGAACTTACATCAACAACTTTTTTGAGAACGAAGTAGTAATTAAAGAAAAAGAAGAAAAATCAAAAAGGCTTCTGCTCAGTTACTGATAATGTTATGACTAATAATTTTGTAATTCAGTGCAAAAAGATCTTACAAAACAGTTTTGTTACTGGTATTCATATAATCAAAGAAATACTACATTTAAGCAATTTACTCTATCACATATAATTCTATGATTAAAACTGATCATAAACATTACTAAGGATCTGTATGGTCTAGTATGGGAGGGGACCCGTGAGGGGTGGCACCACTAAAGTAAGATCCGTGCACAAAGCACCTGTCTGAAGAACAACGTTCATGAGCCAGCTTACCTGCCCTTGTTCTCTTTTCCTTTAGCTTTACTGTCTTGACCTTTTCCACCAGTGGGATCCCACTCTACACAAGTATCTTCAACTTTCAGGTTCACATGGGATGATGAGTTATCCAAACTGAAGTTAAGTGCTATCCAAGACAACATTTCAAATTGTTTGTTACAAAAGTAGCACACCAAAGGGAAAAAAAGAAAAAAAAAACAACAGCATACCTCTACTTTCTGAAGCAAAGGTTTCATCACCACATTATTTTCCTACGCAATTCATTTAACACTGTACGCAGAGAAAAAAGCTCAAATTCCTAATGCTGGCATTTAAGGCCTTTGATGATAAGGCTGCAATTTACCTGGCTACCTTATTTCTCATTATTCTTCTTTATAAATGCTATACTCCAACCAAATATCATTTACTTGTATGCCCACTGGTGTTTCTGCCAGGGCTTCAAACTGGTTTGAACTGGTTCAGTCATAGCCAATGAAGTGAAACCAGAACAGACTGGGATTTTTAGAATTTGAATGAACCACAATGATACTGAAATGCGAAAGACTGTGAGTCAAAGCCTGGAAAGGGAGTCTCAGAAAAGGCAGAGTGAGACCGTTCATCAGCTTGATGCGGGAGACTGGATCGCTGCCAGGACTGTGGAGAGCGACACCTGTTCAAAGTGGTGCAGTCGGCTGCCATCTTTGAGCCAGGGGACTGTCGCTCCCATTCTGCTGGCCAACAGACTGGGTTGCTGTTGCAACATGCACGTTGCTCTTGCTTTCTAAGAAAGAGATTAAGATGCCAGCAGGGTGTCAACCAGTTATTTATCCACTTTCGGATCACCGACATTTTACAAATTCAGGTCCATTCGGGTTTTGTTTTGTCGGCCATGACTGAACTGGGAAGAACCAGACGAAGCTCTGGTTTCTGCTATTCCCTCCGCCAGAACCTCTGTCAGCAGGCAGTAGCCTCAAGTGACCGTCCACTGGAGTATCAGTTGATCACTAGCTGATTGTTATGACTAAGAAGGGGAAGCTAGTACAATTAAAAATGAGAATGTGATATGGCATCAAATAATTACAAAGCCTCACACATACTCATTTTTATTGATGCTCTAGTACTTAACAATTTCATACTTAAAGGCTCATAGCGATTCAAACCCACCAGCCACTCCTAGGAAGGAAGACTGGGCAATCTACTTCCATAGAGATACCACCAGTTTCAAGATAAGCAAGGGCAATCCTACTTCCGTAGTGATACTGCCTCGGAAACCCAAGGAGGGGTCGCTATGAGTCGGGTTTGACTCGATGGCACATAACAACAACAACAACAAGGATAAACTGGGGCCATGATAAAAGGAACCGACCTGACTGATAGAGATAATTTACATGACAATGAGGAGAAGGGCCACTTAAATGAAGAAACAAAAAACATGGAATAAAACTATGCTTTCTAGGTTATCTGGTATTTGGGGGAACTACCTGTTTATTCACAAATTTACTGAAAATTACTAATTTAGGAAATCAATATAAGCTTTTATTTTTGGAAGTTGAGGGTAAAATCGTTTAAACGAATTGATTCCCGGCTGAGCAATGTACAGTTTCTCCTACTTTAAAAGACAAATCCCCAAATCTCCATCTTCAGCGAAGTGTCATCTACTATATATTATCAAGTAAACTGCTTCTGTTAGTTCTATTTCCCTCCAAAAGCCCAAATTTCTGGTAATTACCCAATGAAGGAATATTCTCTTACAACTGTGTTTCACTAAAGGATACCAATTCATTTAGCTAAGGCTTCACTGTGTCTGTCAAGTATATGCATCATCCAACAAGAAAATAAAGCAGAGAAAACCCAGTGCCCACCTAGTGAATCAAGGATCATTCTATCCTCTGTAAGCATCACTTTAATTTCTACACAATAGTTTCTCATAAATGTCTCACACTGCAAGTTAATAGTTTTCAAAATCTGCATCTAAACAGAAATGAATTTAAAGAAAGAATGCAGTTTTTTAGTAAAAATAGAAATAGAATTCCTTAAGATGTAGGTCGTTAAAGAGTTCCGATTCATTCTGCTTATGCAATAAAGCAGTTACATCTAGAGCTTCAAACTGGTTATTTGGTTCAACCTCCTGCTGAGAATCTGCGTTTCTGCCCCAGATATACTAAAACCAGAATCTGCTTTTTAACAAGATCTGCTGGTGATTCTTACATATACACAAGAATCACCTCGTAATAATCACCCAGGGGCCTATAAGAATATATCTGAAACAGACAATGGTCCTGCAAGTTTATGTGAATGATCAGAATTCCCAGGTGTATAGTAGAGCTGACAAGGGGCAAGGTTGTGGTCACTGCTTGGTCACAGCCA